CCTATCGTGTTACTATAATGATCCATAGCAAGGGCACTCCTGCTATTCTTGGCTTCACTGGATGGCTTCAGGCACTCACATTACTGCGCACCCCTCCCATTATTGCTGCGTAATATTTGCGTTTGCATTGTATGCGTCCGAGCCTGCCATTTCGGCCTCGTTGAAGTGCACATATTTATCGTCCTCGGGATTGTTTCCGGTTATGATTGTAAGCGATTTAGCAGCCTGACAGGTTTTGGGAGTGGCGCAGCTTTTTGTCAAGATATAATCTTATATCGGGAATTCAATCGTCAGTTAATCGATTGTCTGATATTTTACTGCTTGAATTTGTCGCAGTGGGATTGCGGAGAATGAAGTATTTCTTCGTATACGATTTTCACATTCCGCAGTGGCATAGAAGACGTTCGGTAATAGATGATCATATTTGAACTTTTGCGTTCCGCACTACATATTTTACATCAGTATGCATTCTGTTTTGTCGTCTTGAAGTCAACAGCGATTTAAAGTAAGCAAACTATAAAACACACTCGCTCCTTGCCTTCCGCTTGCGTTCTGAGTCCCATACTTCGCACAGCAAACGCACCGATCAGGCTCTAGCCCACTGTATTTATCCAGCTGGCTCGTTTGCGGCCTCGCTGGCAGGCTTGGCCGCGCCCCTGCCACCGCCGGTGAGTCGATATCGTCGCAGTGATCGGAGATCAACGGCAGCGACAGGTGCGTGCGTGGCGCGCCGCCCCCGCCCCCGCCCTCGCCCGGCACGGATGGAGCGGCTGGCTCATTATTGGTATGTTGGGATCGATGCGGCCGGCGGTCTCGGTGGCTCAGCGGGCTCACGCGCTCCCTCCGGCTTGAGGAGTTCCTGGCTACTGAGACTCGGGGGATATCCTGACCCCTGGGGCTCAGGGAGTCCCTCTGGATCCAGGGGGCTTTGGGGCTCCTCCGGCTCCGGGGTCTCTGGACTGGGGGATCCGGGGATTCGGGGTGTCCCGGCTGGTCGGTATACGCAACAGCCGGCGTGGCTTTCGACGAACCTCGCTAACGATACACGCCACTGTCCTCAGTTGATGGACGGTATCTACCACAAACAGAACATGAGCAGTAGGCGCCTTTTCCCCATGTGCCTCCGTAGACCGTTCCGTCCCCCCAGGCCGAGAGAGGGTGAAATTGGCGAACCGCTTCGGCTCTGTACTGTGTAGAGGACAGGGTGAGAGGAGCGAGAGGGAGAGAGAGGGAGGATGTGGTCGCAGACGCAGTTGGTCGCCGGAGACAGGCCTGGTTATGCACGAGCACGTCCTGCCCAGCCTGTTTTGATTTGTAACGCGTGGTCCCGGTGCGTAATTTTCTCTAGGCAAGGGACAAATTGGTGCTGTCTGTTTCGCTTGGTCAGCCATATGTTTACGTTTTCTACCTATTGATATAAAAGCATCGTTTGTTTGGTTTACAGTTGGGCATTGTAATTTTGGCGACCTGAAACTACAAACAAAGCCTTGGGTCTGACCCGATCGAAAATGCCCCATGCATTTCTGCGGCACTAGTTACAAAAGCTGTTAGCTCTACATACGTTTATGAATTGTTTTCATTTGTTTTATCATGTTAATGACATTTAATATACCTTTTCCACCATACCTGCTTATTTGATCACTCATTATTTGGTCCAAGTTTGATGCAGTAATATAAATGTGGGTCATTTATTCCCTTGCGTGCTGTATCAAGTGCTCCTTAACTATACGGCCTGATGATTTATGGCGCGCCTGCTTCAAATTGGTGGGTTTTATATCGATGTAATCACGAATGTTTACAGAAATCGATAACCTGTGGGCTCCAGAAAGCTCAAAGCTGGCTACATTCTAGGTTAGCTTTCAAAAGTCGTTAGGGTAACAGTTTAACGAACTGCTGATCATGCACGGAGGGAGCAATGCTCTCTACACCATATCTTACGCTGTGCCTACGCAGATGCACTACGAGTATGCCGCCCATTCCAACCCCAGCCGTCACCTAGGTTCGAGGCCAAGTAGCTCGTTCCATCACTGCCCGATAGATTGTTCATTTAGTGCGCCGCCGGTCGAAGAGAAACGCCAGCTACCCGGCCACCACTCAGTTCCATAGCTCAGCGTTCAGCCAAGCACAACACTCGTAGATAACGCTCCCCCTCATCGGTAGCACTTTTGTTGGCGCATTTCAGCCGGCGGTGGCTTTTTCAGCTGTTTGTGTGACCGTTCTTAGACCGGCTGCCGACTGCCGATGAGTTTTATGGTGAGCAGTTTCGGCCACCGAGCTGCTGCAGCCTGCTGTGAGCCGCCACAGCCCGCTGTGAGCTGTCGCAGCGCTGTGCAAGCCCTATCAGTGGGAGCTGTTTGAGCCGTCGAGCTGTCGGCGCCTGACGGAGAGCTTCAGCAGCTGTCGAGCCACTGTGGCAGCTCGTTTATCCTGGATGAAGCTTTTTTGGCGTGTCGGTTGACGCCACGTCGGGCGATATTCCGCGACCACGACAGCAGATCGTCGCTGGGTCGTTTGTCATGCAGGGAGGAAGGGCGAGTGGGCGACGACTGGGGAACAGAGGAACAGTCGACACTGCATCTAAACTGAAAGACTGGAAATAGGCTCTGTAAAATGTATGCATTTATAGCCTGTGTACACATGGCGAGTGAGCTTAAAGGTAGACGTATAAGCTGTACCACATCTACCTATTGATGTTCCTGAGCCCTGTAGCAACGCATGGTATACCATCAGCTTCTCGTGCATATGGATCAATAGTTGATTCACTATTACAATATTAATGAAACGAATTAAGTCAGTGAGCCTATAGATGTCATCATTCCAACAAGCGCCGCAATCATCTAGGAACAAATGCACACGGATACTTGGAATCGCCGGCTCCGAATCTTGGCGTTGCATAGCAGCTAAAGCACTGCAGGCGTACAATCTGATCCAAAGGCATCCAGCAAGGCACGCGATAATGATCATTATGCCGGACTCATCGAGCCAAGTCTGTGCCAAACGACTCTGCTGCGCCATTCGGGGCAATTATGAGCAATAATACGGCGCATTGGCGTCATATCTATGTCGCCGTATTGGAACACAATGACACCCCTGTGTTCGGATGGGTGCGCCATTTCAGGGGTAATACAAGGAAACATCGAGTAGCTAGGCGGGTAAAAACCGTGCTTGCGAGACGGCCTGCTATTCATGAAGAGATTATAGTGATTTATATGAGTGCTCGCTCTCTGGTGCAGAAGCAGTGACCTAAGTAATTGGTATTTCAGCACTCACATTTATCGCACTATATGCCATGTCGAGGCGCTGTGCTGGGACGGAGGGTCCCTGGATGCCCATTACTTGGCGTAGTGACACTAGGTGGCGATTTAGTGAGGGACATTTTGTGCCGCCCATAACATAGCATGCCAGTCGCTGGTAGATCACTTATGGACATGTAGGGTGGTGAAAAGTACAATTTGCTTTCGCTGAAGCCTCAACTTGCAAATGAACCCAGCGAACAAATGAAAATACCAGCCTCACTTGTGCTGAGCCTTCTGTAGGTAAGCGTGGTTCGGAGTTCGAGTGAAACATGTACGAACTGTCATAGGTCTATTGATTTGTTTACGCGAATGTTTAGTGGAGATGAGCTGCTGAGTTGTGACGTCAAAATGCAACCAACTGCAAAGTGGACGGAAAGGGTTTGAGAGAGATGCCTAATAAGTTATTTCTCTGGCTATATCTTAGCTATAATAAATGTTCCGTTTATTTGACCGCTGCACAGTGGCCCTTTTTCAGAATTAGCACGCATAAATCCAAAATATTTTTTCTCCTCTTTTGAGTAAAAAGCAGTCTAATCGTGTGCAAAACATTCCAAACTATCCGATGGTGCCATTTTTACCTCCTAAAAAATAATTATCTTTAGTAAAACTGACCGCAAACACGAAGTTTGTCGAGAGGCGCGCGGACACCACCGGCGGACCCTAAAAAGTAGGATAAGATGAACATCAATTTGTAAGGCTTTCGGTGAGAAAATATTAAAAATTAGTGGCATGGCTGTGAAGCTGAGTTTACGTAGAAGCCCTAGAAACCACAATTTTCATTGTACAAACTTAAATAGACCACTTTTGCCAAATATTGTGGACACAATAACAGGACAATTATTAACTGGAGATGGCGGCATACATATGAAGCTTTATGTTAAGTAGCACACTATGGGACATGTCGTATTATACATCGTTCGAATCGCCGATCTCTTCTGACCATGTCCACCAAAGGGCATCGCGCCATTTTGCGCCATTTTGCTTCTACGGTGGATAACGTGAGCCAGTTCAGTCCGCGAGCGGCTGTGGGCTCCTGTCCGATACGACTAAGCTCATTGACCTGGCTCGAAGCTGGTGTCACCTGGTGTGCGCCTAAATGTGGCTTGACTTTTGCCATAAGATGTGCTTATTGAAATGTCATGTAGGCATAACGCTGTGCTCAAGAAAAACTGTCCGATTTCTTGTCGCGTTTGATGTCCAAGCCGCACAAGTCCCGTGGTCGGCTTAAGATCTAACGTCAAAAGCGCCTATGTGTTTGTATTGTTCGCGTCGCGCTGACCTTAGTTGCTGCCCGGCCGGGGCCGACTAACGGTGGCTGGCAACAGCTGTAGATGCGGTCACGTGACGCCCTGGGGCGTCCTGGCGGTCAGTGCAGCGCGGTCGGTTGGCGGGCTCGCCACACTTGCGTTCGGAGCGGCCTGGGCCGGCGGGCGAGCCGTGCGAACGTGCGCCAAATCTTGGGCCGAGCGGCCTGTCGCTGTTGGGCCGAATCTCCTTGGGCAGTTCGTTTCTTTTCTTCTCTTTGCATTGGCAGGGAATACGTCCTTGATCACGTGGTGATGTCTTGCACCACTTTCAGGTAATGTGAGAATTAATGCGTGCTAATTCTGAAAAAGGGCCACTGTGCGCTGTCCAAACTTCTCTCGCGTAGCCCTGTTGTAAAATAGCATCTCAGTGACCCTCTATTCTCCTCTGTGTTTCCAGTCATGCTGCGCCACTGGGTGTACCACGCCGGGCTGATGGTGGCAGTCGCACTCTGCTACCACAACGCTCTGCACTGCGACTTTGTGTTCGACGACATCAGTGCGGTGAAGGACAACAGAGACCTGCGACCGCACACGCCGCTCACCAATCTGCTGCACAACGACTTCTGGGGCACGCCCATGGAGAAGGTGAGGATGGTGGGGCGACAGCGCTGTGCACCCGGGTTGAAGGATGTAGGTGGTGGTAGCCAATTAGTCAGCTGGTCGAAATTATTTAGCCACCGCTCGTGAAAACATTATCATTGTCTCACCTTTTCTTTAAGAAGAAGTAAGTCTTTTCTTCGCTACTCCTTTCCCGGGTGCAGATTATTCAACAACTAACAAGCGATTTGCCGTCAATCTTTCGCAGATGCTCCTCAATCGTCATTCGCATTTCGGTCATCGGACTTTGTTTTAACAGCGAAAAGGTGCAGATGGGTGGACAAATCGGGCACATCTCTAGCCAGCCATCTATATTTTACGTTGCCACCCACGTCTGCCTTTTTACATATTTTCTTGAGAAAGCTGAAACGAACGTTTTTTTCTCTCTCCTTTTGCCGACGGTGTTTTATATCGTCGTCACCCAGTTCCTAAGGTATGTGGCACCATGAGGTAATTTCATTAAGTATTAAGTATTATTTTTGCTACCGTGCCACCTGCTAAAATACGCCATAAATGGATTCCCTGGTAAGCTTCTACATACTTTGTTACTTCGACTTCAGTCGACTGGTCGACTGTGATAACTTGACTGGTGTTGATGAGGAAAATAATTCCATTGAAATGCACACGTGCTGAAAAATCACTGAGCCGAAAGTCCTTGCATCTAAAAATACACAAGGCTGCCCATTCAGCCTCGATCTGCCGGATATGATGCAACCACCCTCCTCTGAACCTGCACAGCCGGCTAGCTCGCCCAGTGAAGCCCTTCTTGAGCGTTACTTGTCGTCTTTTCTGGACGCCGATCGCGTTCTAGCGATATGTCGCTCGCCGACTTGCAAATTTTATAGCGCGATGCACATTCAATTCCATTAGTTCGGGCCGTTGACCGTCTGGCCATTGGGAACGAAGGCACCCACGGTGACGGCGATGCACACGAACTGCACCGGCCCTGAGGCGTCTTGGCTCGTGCCACCGTCTCCTTTACGGGTGCCGTTTGTAATTCGTGTGGAATACTTTCCTGTTCATAAGCTTATGAAATTCTTTGTCGGGGTTAGCTTGGTGTTATCCCAACTTGGTGTGGTGGTTTGTTCGCTTGGACCAGGGGAGTAGGGATGCCTCAGGGCTCCGGGCATCAGACGTGTTTTTTCTATATCATATGGTTTTACGCGATTGGGATGTGCGTAACACGTACGGAACAACGAGTTGCGTGCAAGATGGTCCATGTGGGACAAAAACTGAGCCCGCATACCCAAACACGCCATACTACACCTTACACAAGACATAGGCATCTACATTTCTCACAGTTCAAATGCCATGAATATCGCACCTACACAGTACACATATCCCATCCCATGCGCAATATTCCATCCCCCCCCCCGACACACACAGTACTTCGTGACCCACAGGACCCCCACACACAAATATCCCACATTGCCTTGCACATCCCACACCCTACCCTTCGTTACCCCACTCCCCTCCCCCTCACCCACACATTCATAGAACCCGCACAGCCCAGCCTCTCCCTCTCACCACCGCCACCGGTTCGTCTTACCTCCGCCGGTGACCTGTTCAGTATTCAGCCGGGTTGCTGCCGCCTTCAGCCCGGCTACCGTAAATTGTCCTATTTACGATGGCATCACTTATCTGTGACGGGAACATCGTCGGCAGTGCGCGGATCGTGCCCGCCTCGGCCGCGCCGTACGTGGGACGCTATGGAGACGACTGAGGGCGGTGGGGATGGGATGGGACTGGTGTGCACTCCTCCCTCCCCCGGTGCGGCTCTCAGTGTACGCCGAGGAGAGGGTGCAGTGACACTATACCTAAATCACGCAGTGGGGGGCTCCCTGCCACTGGGAGGAGCGGGGATGGTAGTCCCAAGGTCAGACAGAGGCCGGGAGGGGTGCCCGATGGGTGCAGAAGACGTGGACGGTGGGTGGAGGGTAATGGTATGCTCGATGTGGAAGGGTGTGGAGGTGTGGGGCAGATGTGATGTTTGCTGTTGTGGATGTTATTTTGTGATGTTTTGTGCTGTGAAATTTATTATAGCTGTATTTACATTAAATCAATTCCAATGCGAAGTTGTAATTGTAGTCGTGGACTGATAGCGCTGCATATTGTCACGCAGTGCTCCTATAAATTTATTTTCAAGTTAATGTTGACAGATTTTTTGGAATATGCACCTCGGTAGCTCAGATTTGCTAATGAAAATTAGAGACGACCATCTCTTTTTAAGTCGATTGATATTGGCTCGTGCGACCTAAGAAACATGATTACATACAAACCCACACAAAAGCACCACAAGCATCCTTGCAGCCACATACACACAAGCATGCGCACGTACATTCACCATACAACCGCCGACAGTGCAGGACGAGGCCCGGAAGCTAATCAGACGCTCCGTCTGCCAATATTCAAGCATTAACGGGACGTTGAATCGTGATTAGCGGGCCGAGGTGACACGACGCGACACCGAGCCAGTGGGGTCCAGGGAAGCGGGAGGGGGAGGGGGGGGCGATAACGAGAAGGGTGGAGAAGAACAAACAGAACCGCGGCGGCCCCGCCGTGGTCGGCCGATAACACGCGCAGTGTGAGCCGAGCCGCGGTGTACATTTACAAGGGGTGCGCGGAGTGTTTCTCGCGCGGCGCGCGCGACGAACGCGATATAAGTGCTCGGTTTTGGTGTACGGAATAACAGGACAACATCAACGGAGCGACAGGAGACGGACGCAGGATGACAGGTGGGCGCAGCGATAGGCTGCGGGGGGGGGGGAAGAATCTAGGAACGGCCACGAGGAGACGGGATGGGGGGGGGGGGTTGGGACCGTTCGACGGGCGCTATAGAAGTGGGCGTGACGGAGAGGGGCGGGTATCTAGCTGCCCACGACACCGTGCGCCTAGAGAGGCCAGCATCTGTGGTCCCCGTCGTGCCATGGCCACGGCCGACGGGTGTGACCTGATCCGTATATGCCGTGTGCACAGAAGGACCTGGCAACTGTGGTCCCCGTCGTGTCATGGCCACGGCCGACGGGTGTGACCTGATCCGTCTATGCCGTGTGCACAGGAGGCCCTGGCAACTGTGGTCCCCGTCGTGTCATGGCCACGGCCGACGGGTGTGACCTGATCCGTATATGCCGTGTGCACAGGAGGACCTGGCACTCTGTGGTCCCCGTCGTGTCATGGCCACGGCCGACGGGTGTGACCTGATCCGTACATGCCGTGTGAACAGGATGACCTGGCAACTGTGGTCCCCGTCGTGTCATGGCCACGGCCGACGGGTGTGACCTGATCCGTACACGCCGTGTGAACAGGATGACCTGGCAACTGTGGTCCCCGTCGTGTCATGGCCACGGCCGACGGGTGTGACCTGATCCGTTTATGCCGTGTGCACAGGATGACCTGGCAACTGTGGTCCCCGTCGTGTCATGGCCACGGCCGACGGGTGTGACCTGATCCGTACATGCCGTGTGAACAGGATGACCTGGCAACTGTGGTCCCCGTCGTGTCATGGCCACGGCCGACGGGTATGACCTGATCCGTACATGTCGTGTGAATAGGATGACCTGGCAACTGTGGTCCCCGTCGTGTCATGGCCACGGCCGACGGGTGTGACCTGATCCGTACATGCCGTGTGAACAGGATGACCTGGCAACTGTGGTCCCCGTCGTGTCATGGCCACGGCCGACGGGTGTGACCTGATCCGTACAGTCATGCCGTGTGCACAGGAGGACCTGGCAACTGTGGTCCCCGTCGAGCCATATCTGGCCCGACGACGGGTATGACCTGACACGTGACGTAACTCGCGAGTTCTACCCGGCAGATAATGGTGCGAACTGATCCAGAACAGGCGGGCACGTGTAGGAGAGGGGCGAGTAGCTAGTGGCCTCCATCGGGGCGCGGCGGCATTGGGTGAGACGGCAATTTAGTGGTGTCAATCGTAGCTTGAATCTGTGGAATTCCGTGTTTGTCCAATGTCCAATCCGGAATTCGGTTGGACAATGACGCAGGCTTTGGACACCTTTGGACAATCATTGCTACACCTCAGCATTTTTATAAAGCAATCGTGGTTAACACTGATTGGCGAATAGAAAGTTCAGCCTTTGAGATGATTAACACATTAAAGCTGCTAAAAATACATAAAAAAATAGATAACAGTGTTAAGTGTAAACTATTACGTAGGTTTCGGATATCTTTGGACAAATGGCTGGCTTAAACATTTTGGACGGAAATCGACGTAAGCATTGGACCTGGACGGACATTGGACATACATTTTCTGAAACTAACACCACTAGACGGCATACGCCGAGGTGATAAAGACGAGGCGCCGTCAGCGAGGTGTTGTCGCGGCTGAGCAAATATTGGAGCTTACGACCGGTCGGGACGATAGCGGAGGGTGGGAGAGCAGAGAGGGAGATTTTGAGGGCACGCAGCTGCGCGCTAAGACAAACAGGTCGGCCGTGCCGAGGCCCAGGGAGGGGAGATGGGGCGTTGGGAGCGGTCTCCAGCAGCGGCTGGGTTCTGGGGGGGGGGGGCGGTCATAACGGAGGGTGGGGGTGGGTGGGGGGGGGGGAGGGAGATACACTTGGTTGGACATGTGCATCGGGTAGATCGAATAGTCAGTGTCACTCTGCGGTGCAGTGATGGATTCCAGACTGGGTGTGTGCGCAGAATAGACCGCCCCAGTCAGTGTCACGCCGCCGTGCAGAGATGCATTGTATGTCGGCTAGCCGGGTGCCCCGGGCGCCCCTATTCGTTGAGCGCCAGGCGGTTTGAGAGTGTCACGCTGACGTGCCGCGGTGGTTCCCGGCTGGCTGTGTCGACTGCGGTCTTTCCCCAGGGCACGTATCAGCAAGAAGGCTCATGTTAGACCGTTTCCAACGCTAAGTCGGAATGTAACTGCACAACTGCAGGTCGTCACTGTCCCGTCGCGGCGGCGGCAGCCGCTTGCGATACTGATGGGTCGGGCTTTCGAATGAGCCTGATCCGTACACCTA